CGACCCCCTGATCTGACCCTAATTTGTGCCCCCACCTCCTTAAAGGAAGAATCTCGGGGGGGGGCAGCCCTTGAATGCTATCCAAACAACCCCCCCATCCCAATTCAGGATTTCTTTCGGGTTTTTTTAAGGAGAGGAATCAGCAGGAAAGGCCCTGAAACGCCTCCAAGGCATCCCGGCCCTTCCGGGCAGAGGGGGGGGGCGGGTTGCAATGCCCATGGGGCCCGGCCGGGGACGATGGGGAGTGTAGTCCAGCTGCTTGAGGAGCTGGGTCTTCCCCGGAACGGGCCCCGCGGCGGGCGGCTCCGGCGGGCGGCTGGGCGCTCACCTCCTTTGGGCATAGCGAGGTCAGGCAACGATGGCGGCTCCGACGGCGAGCGAGTCCTCCTGCTTCTCCTCCCGCCCCCCCTAACACGCCTCGCTTCGCCCCGAGCTGGGAGCGACCCGGAAACGGAAGTGGGGCCGGCGCCGTCCTCGTCGCCGTCGGTTGAGGTCCCCGGCCGCCCTCTTTCCGTGGCTGCCTGCGTTGAGGCTGTCTTGGCCTACCGCCTGATGGAAAACGGAGCGAGCTTTAGAGCGGGGAGGGGGGGGGAAGCATGAAAGCAGCGCGTCTTTCCGTCTCGACCGCTCCGAAAAGAGGGGTCGGCTCACTCGAGGATTTCTTGCGAAGGCGCCGGGCCAATCAGGCAACTTTGGTAGACAGATGGACAGAAGGGGAGACTAGGGAAAGCCCCCCGGGAAGCGACGGCGGGGGGAAGGAGGGCCTGGGCTGCGGGTGACGTCACTGCGGGGCGACGGGAGCTCCGGAGAGGCGGAAGAGCGCCGCGGAGGAGAAAAGCAGCGCCCCGAAAACGTGAGTGTCCCCGCCGTCGGGCCAGAAGGGGGGCCCGGAGCCCCGAAACCGCGACCGTAGCCCCCGAGGCCCCGTCTCTCTCTGACGGGGGCATGTTTAAAGCCACGCTGCGTGGCATGCAGGCAGAAACCCACCGGGAGAGTTTCTTGCTGGAAGGAGACTCACCGGTGTGACTTCCACCTGGGCTGCCACTGTGATAGGCCGAGGAAGACCGGCGGCCCTGCTGTGGCTGCTTGGGGAGGGGAGGAAGCCTGGCTTCGGGGGCAGAGCCTGGAAAGGAGAAGAACCTGCGCTTGGGTTCCTTTATTTTCCCCCCCCTCAAAATCACGCAGGACCCCCCAAGAGCTTTGCTTTGTGTGGGTTGCATCGATGGCTCTTTGTCTTAGAAGTGGTGCGTTTCATAGATTGGCAGGCAGTCCTCGCTTAGCGACTGCCTCATTTGGAGAAGGGCTGGTGGCAGCGAATGTGCCAATTTTAATTTTTAATATTGACGAAAACTAATCAAGGAGAGAAGCAGCCTAGAACTAAGGAGAAACTTCCTGACAGTGGAACAACCTGCCTCCAGAAGTTGTGGATGCTCCAACACTGGAAGTTTTTAAGAAGAGATGGGGTCTCCTTCTTAAGCAGGGGGCTGGACTAGAAGACCTCCAAGGTCCCTTCCAACTCTATTGTTATTGTTATTATTACCCATATCAACCAAAGCTCTTTTGGGGGTCCATTTTTTTTTTAAAGTGGGAAAGGCCCTTGAGGGGGAAAAAAAAGTTTAAGAAACACTGTTAGGGTTTAGTTTTTATCAACTGGGTATAAAAATCTCAAT